GAAGCCACATGACACAAACCGTCTCATCTAAGCTTCAGAAAATGTTAATGCAATTGCAAAAGTATGGAACTTGAGGACAAGTCTGGAGCTTCTAATGGCATGCAGGCTTTGAAGAATATTTATACAAAGATAAAGCAAGAAGCTGCAAGAAGAGGAGCTTGAAGTAAATATAGTTTAAGTGCTACCCATTTCCAAAATGGTCAGATTTTATTTCAGATGAGAAGCACAAAATGACCACCTTCTGCAAAACTTGAGGGTTGGATTCTAGCAAATGGAAAACCCTTGCAGCTCCCATGTTATAAAGTTAATGACGCTACGAGGATGACATTTCTGTGTGGGATGCAATTCTGTCCAAAGGACACTATCTCATAGTACCACCAACTAAGATGTGGTCATATCCATTTGGGAATTTTGAAGTGCAAGAAAAGAGGTTAAATATCCTTCTATGGTTAGACAAATGCTATCATCAAATATAGGGTATCCAAGTAAGAACCAAAATAAATACAAAAAGCCAAATGTAAAATAATCCCAGAAACCACAAGTTATTCATTATTCCTGTTCTTACAGATACATTTGAACTAAGCAGGAAAAATGAATTATTAAAGGATTTTTTTAAACTTGTTGCAAAACACATTGAATAACAATGTAATAACACATTGTAGATCATGGCTGCTTGCCATGGGAATCCAGATGAGCTAATAACAGATAATGGCCTACAATTCACAAATGACTTATTTTGGTGATTTTCCTAATTTGTTAGATCAAGGACACTCTCATGGACTGGCAAAAAGAAATCAGTAAAAAACAGAGAATTTGCTAGATTCATGGGATCCAGATGTAGCATTGTTTGTTTAGCACACACATGCATTATGCTTCATGAAGATCATAAGTTTAGAGAGAAATATGGTCAAAAGGAAAACATCCCTAGACATTGAACAATCATCTTCACCAAAAATATTTAACACAGAAGCAGTTAAAGGGCTATTTCCTTACAAATTAAAACAACACATGCCATTAGGATGCCCAAAGTAAAACCCCATTATGGGCAGAAAATTTTCAATTTCTAATAGATCGGGGCGGGCAATTATTTTGGGTGGAGGGCCAATTACTGAGTTTTGGCAAGCCATCAAGGGCCGCATGACAGGCAGCTGGGGCAGATAAATATTAATTTTCTACATTTTTAGGCGTCCCATGGGCCAGATAGAATGGCCTGGCGGGCCACATCCAGCCCACAGGCCACATTTTGCCCACCCCTGTAATAGATAATAGATACTAGACTACCAAAGATTCTTTTCATTGGCTTCAAAGGTCGTAGGTTATAATCACCCCTAAGGGTCACTTCCAAAGTAGGAACGGAAGATAGCCAAACGAAACTGCAGTGAATCAGTGCTCTGATTTTTGAGCACAATCAAAATATTCATAGAACTAATAGCTTCCTGTCTGTCAATGGAAAACTACCAGGAATAGACTCAAAGGAAACAATTCACTTCAGTGGTTAACATGGGCAGATCTAGGATTTGAAAAAGGGGGTGCAGATGATGTGATGCCTTATCACAACACATATTTTTCTCCAGTTATAAAGGAACTAGAAGCTTTACTAATAAATTAAGAGCCCAAGGCTAAATACTTCTGTTTAAGACTGAAGCAAAAACAAATATAACTTTCTTTAGGAAATGTGCATTAATTTGCTATATCATATATTATGTATAAAACCCCAACAAAATAGGCAAAAATAATCAAAAGGCATTGTTCCATTAGTCCTGTAGTTATCAGAATTAAATTTACATCTTTTTTTAGATTCATAAAGCAAAGTCTAGCCTTCTTGAGCATCTTGACAGTGTATCATTGAAAGTTATTTCCACATCTGAGTTAATGTTTTTAGCTAGATTTGGGCTATGAAACAGAAGCTACATTACCAGGAGCAGCTAATGGACAGCAGAAACACAGAAGAAAAGATAGCTTGATTAGTGGAACATCAAAACCATTAAAAAGGAGAGAGGGTCATTAACCCCTGTAGATTGCACAGTTTAGAAGGAATCGGGTCGATCAGGGGTTCTCAAATTGTGGTAAGTGGACCCCTGGGGGTATGCAACACATCTTTGGGGGGGTATGCAGGAGAAATTGTATAATGAAGGATTTAATTTTCATTATAATAATAATAATTGGCATTTAAGAGGTTAAAATATAAAACGTATACTGGTAAGGGTACGTGGGCAGCTGGTAAATCTGGAAGGGAGTACACAATAAGAAAAAGTTTGGGAATCTCTGAGATAGATTATGAGCCATGAGGTCAACTGACTTCTTGCTATGAAGGCAATGGACTCCCTCAACACTGCCTGATTAGAAATGCAACTGCACCACTGCACCCCCCTGGCTTCATGCCTTGTGGTTAAAAGGCCTCCACCAAATGAGTTAGTATGAGAACATAAAGTGACCCCAAGGTTAGGAAATCATTCAGGTGGTAGTTATTTACAGATGTCTAATCCCCCGACTTCCCGCCTAGACGCCTCTCTTCGTGTCTTTTATTAATTTGGCAGTTTGCCTGAGGTCGGAGTTTTAAGTTGCTGTTTCTGTCATTAAAAAAAATCAGGGAAGATGTGATAGTAGCCGGTACAGTAAGTGGTACAGAGCATACCACATGAAAGGCGTATAACCTTTTGTAACTATGACCCATGTCATGACTAAGCTGGAAAGAAGTTTCTTACAGATGTATCTCTATTAATAACAAACATCACATATCCTGACAGAATATGGGCAGTAAAATAAAAATAGTTAGCATGTCTTATTTCAGATCTGTCCAACTTCATTTTCCAGCCACTGGATCTTGCATGTTGTTTTGTCTGTTCAATTAAAGATCTCCATAGTATCAGATATTTTCTCCTTGGCCGCGTCTAGATGAGACGCGGGCTGTGCAGTCGTTACTGCACAGTCATTTAGTACTTGTATAAACAGTGACCAGAGTTACTGTGCAGTAGTGCCGACAAACAGCTTTTTCATGATACTGACAGCGCAGTGGCTTGAGACTACTGCGTAGTAGTGCCACATCACGCTTCCTGCCACGTGACGCTACTATCACTGTCTCGTGTAGATGTGGCCCTTGTGTAGATATTTCTAGACAAATCAATATAGCCATTAACCTTCTCTTCAACTGGCGAAATCAAATGAGAATCTTAAATCTTTCATTTTCGAGGCACATATTCCAGCCCTCCACTCATTCTTGTGGCTCTTCTCTGAATCTTCTTCACTCGTACAACTTCCTGTTAAAAATGCAGGTATCAGAACTAGAAGCACTATTTTAGTCATGGTCTGCACACAGAGATAACATCACCTGCTTCCTCCTACTCAATACTCCCATTTATATAGCTACGGATAATGTTAGCATTTTTAAACAGAGCAGTGCACTAGAAGACCACGGTGAGTCAGTTACTCACCATGACCCTTCAGCCCTTTTCAGTCACTGCTTCCCAAAATACAGTCCCTAATCCTGTGAACATGACTTGCAGTCTTTGCTTCTGGAGGCATGACCTTGCATTTAGCTATATAAAATCCATTTTGTTTGCCAAGAGATTCAGATCACTCTGCTCTGTATAACTGACCCGTCCCCATCATTATTCACCTGTCCACCAATCTTTGTGACACTTGCAAACTTCATTAGCATTCTTTCAGGTCAGTGATAAAATTAAGTAGCATTGAATTAAGGGTTAATCCATATTCAGACCCACCAGAAATGCCCCCATACTATGGTGATTCTCCACGAACAACTCTTGTGTTGAATTCTATGAGTTAGCCAGCATTTAAATCGATGCAGCTTTGTCCGGTACTGACTTTAAGTAGTGCTTTTTAAACATCAGGATGTCAGGTGGCACTAAGTCAAACATCTTCCAGACATCTAAACAACCTACATCAACACAGTTATTGAGAAAGCTTGTAATTGCATAAAAGTATCACATTAATTTGACAGACCTATTACCCGTACATCTGTAAGTACTGAATATGTGTAGTAAGCACTCCACACACAGGTTAACATGTGTTTGCATATGGTGTTAGCTGAATGCAGGATGTGTTGATGGGCTCTGACAGAGGTAATGTTGTTGGTCTCACTACACCAGAGAAAAGTATCAGTTATATGAGTTACTCCTAGCTTACCATTGCTAAAGCATTTACTGATGGTGGAACTACACATATCTCCCTATGCTCCATAGTCCTGCCTGCATCACAATATGATGCACATGAACAAGCATGCAAATTGTCATGTTTGTGAAACTGAAATTGTAACCTGATTTTTTTGGCGGGGGGACCCACTAGGAGAAAAAAGAGCTACATTTGGCAAATTGAACTGTTCAATGTGAATCATTCACCTTACTCTTCATATAAGGCTAAACTCTAATCTAATTTAAAGTAGGAGTATACTGATGAAATTTTTTGATGACACAAAGTTAGGATTCATCTGTACTACAGAACAGTACTGGAATATTGCACAGGAAGACCTAGATGAGCTGGAGAACTGAGATAACAGACATGGGTGACAATGCAATAGTACAAAGTGCAAGGTCATGTACTTAGGAACTAATCACAAGAATTTCCACTGTAAACTGGGGACACATTGGCAGGAAACAACAGAGGAAAAGAAAGACATGGGTATATTAAATGATCACAGGATATCTATGAGCCACCAGGATGATGTGGCCATGAAAAAAGCAAAAGCAATTCTAGGACATACTATACTAGATAAAATATTTCCAATAGAAATATTCATACCACTGAATAAATGCAGAGTAGTATGGTTCCAGTACAGTCCGTCACTTGAAGGAGTGAGAGGAAATAACTTGACTGGTTTTAAGAGAGAACTTACTAAGGTTGTGGAATGGATTATGGCAGCTGGTTGCCTGGGACTGCAGGAGACTGGACTTGACCCCAGAGATCCCCAAAAACCAAGCCATGAAACCAAACACAAGGTTTTGAGAGACAAAATATTTTTCTGTACAAGCCAGCATTCTTACCTCCCATGAGGAAGAGAAGCCCCGCCACATACTGCATAAGGCCTCGATCCCAGCAGCATCCCAGCACCCCTATAATCCATCCGAAGAGGATGATGGCCACAGCCATGCCCATGAAGCCAGCTGTCATCCTGCGCAGGTCTGCAAAAGGAAAGAGTATAACAGGATGCTCATGAACTGTGGCAAATTGTTATCATCAGAGCTTCATTAGAACCTGAAAAGCAAAATAACCTCCTCTTGTGCAGAGCTGTCAGTGGTCAGCACAGGAGGGTTTATGTCAAGATGGTAAAGGAAGGATGATCCATTACTTAGCATGCTAAGCTGGGGCTTCAGAGACCAGTGTTCATTTCTCTGATCTGCAACAGACTGCCTTGGGCATTCACATAATCTCTCTGGGCCTCAGTTCTCCATCTATAAATTGGGCCGATCAAATTCCCCTACTTCATAGGGGCAGAGTGACTGTTCAGCCTTCAAACACTGTGTGTTGGGGTCATATAAATAGACTGGATCAGAGCACAGGAAGAGTCTTTTTCTTCCTTGCCTCAGGCTGGGGGTGTGAATATTTCAAATGAGTTGTTTGTTTTGTTTTGTTTTGTTGTGGTTTTTTTTTGGTGGGGGGTGCTTTCATCAGATCTGACAAGCAGCAGCAGAGCTGAGGGCTGGTAGAGGGCTGGGAATAAAGCAGCTAGGTGTACTATAGGTCAGGCATGCGGGGCACCAGCACAATAGTATATAATGCCTTATGTCTGGCCTGTTTGCGCCAGAAAATGACACATTTATGAGCATGTTTTCAAAACACAAAAAAACTCTACATCGAATTTTCCTGTGTCCCATGTCAGGGGGCGCATCTACACGTGATGCTATGTCGCTGTAGCAACATGCTAGGGCAATGTAGCATCGGCGGGCACAAACCGTGATGCCATGGCTACGTCACGGTAGCAACATACTCCCTCGGTATAGCACGTTGCTATGGTGATGTAGTGGCTAAAAAACCCGTGCGCCACCAGCATGGCACAGTATAGTATAGTATACATATAGTAAATGATGACACAGTAACAACGGCACTGTAGGGGCACGTGTAGACATGCCCAGTGTTCCCCTAATGGGGAGGGACTGTGGCACTAACATTGCCCACCTGTACACAGGAGAAAATAAAACATTTTTACAGGGATTTCCTGCATGAAATGTGAAGCTGGAGAGTCTACACGGTGACTAAAAAAGCACAGGATGCTACCACTAATCAGGGCCTTGACACCCCCCGATGAGGTAGCAGAGTGCAGGGCACTCAAAGTAACAAGCTGCTCATTCAGCTACATCCAAGCACGCACGCAAAGTGTAAGCACCACCAAGCAAAACTACGCAGATAGGAAAAATGCCAGTTGAGCCAGCTCCTCATACATGCTCCCACCCACTGGAAGCAAATTTTATTTGCCTTGGATTTTTTCCCTTTCTTTTAAATATCAGAATGCGCATGGGGGAAGGGAGGGGAAGAGGGGGATTTGTACACAATGAATCAGCCATTGGTCTCTATGGCAGCATTTCTCCTTGGCTTAAGTAATGGAAAACGTGGCCCAACAGCAGTGCTAACAAACTTTTTTTTCTTTTTGCCCTTTTGTGCTGATGGATTAAAAAGATATCCAATGCCCTGAGCCTGTGCTTGAAGGCCCTCCTGAGATTTGACAGTTTCGGTTTTCACATGGCTGCCTAGCCTGTAACACTTGTGCAAGGTAGAGAATGCAAACCTTCCTGTACCTATAGTATTATCCCCATCCAACATGTCCTTGTCCCTTTTTCTGTTTTGCTTTGTAAACAGGACAATAGTCCCTTAGCTCTGGGGCAGAAGGATTATTGGTAAGCCGTGCTCTTACAGAAAGCAGGTCTTAAACTCCCTCTTGGTATCTTACTCAGAGGAAGTGTTTCCTGGTTGCCCAACCAAAAAACCAAAAGTGAAGAGAGAATCCAAAGGATGTGAATATATCCACAGCATGTCTGGTACAGAAAAAAAATTGGTACTTCCTAAAAGCCCTGTCATGGTACCTTCTTTTCTGGGATTTTTCAGAGCAACTGTATTTTAACTCAAGAAGTAAATCTGTGTAGGCAACGTAGCTTGGAATAATAAGTAAAGATGTGATTCAAATCACAAGAAAGTGAGAAACGTACAGAGTCTGCAGGCCACTGCCTTATCTTCAATGACAGCAAAGCCTGCATCACAAAACTACGGCAAAATTGTCTGCGTCACCTTGCAAGAGGCCCCTGATTTTAACTAGGCATTGCTAATTCAAGGTAGGAACATGCTTGTTTTCCCAGTGAAGAGTTTTGAGCTTTAAATAATCTAAATCAGCTCCAAGATGGTACTAAATACGATCTGAGAGTTAACCCTCAAGCATCCATCCTGATGACTTGCTTGATGGAGCCACTTTGAAGAGGGGTGTGGCAGGGGTTCAGAAGCCCTTTCATTTCACCTACCAAGAGAAGGGCCAGTTTCTGCTACAATTAAATCAATGGGACTCTGAAATTAAATTTGTAGGGGGGTTTCTAGTGCTGAGGTCCATTTACAGCTGAACTCCCTTCTTGAGAGGGATCAGTACTTGTCAAAACACCAAGGTGAAGTCCATTAACATCATGACAACACTAGTCTATGTCCTTTCCTGAAAACAGTAAGGTTAAAATGTGGCTGAAATTTCATAACAAGCAGAAAAGGTTTATGTTCTTTGAAAAACTCCAACTCCCCTGAGTTGTCCACTTGGCTCCGTTAAAAATTCCCACTGCTCTCCTTGTTCAACTCTGCTCCACAAGCTTTTCCATTAGGCTTATATGAAAGAGATCAAATATAAAGTTTCTTTTCTGTTCAAAACCATCTTGGTTTCTGTCCTGTCGTAACACTCCCTGAGGGCACCACTTGCAAATAGCAATGGTGGGAAAGGGGAATTGTAAGCTAATTTCATAAATAGCCCTCATTTGTCCAACAGTATCACTCTGGCATTATTTACCTGTCAGAGCTTGCACAAAGGAGATGTCAGTGCTAAGGACAAGCCTATTCAAAGTGATTCTTCCCTGGAAAAGGACTTAATATACATAATGTAGCGCACCACTGAATCAGCACTCTTAGGCTATTTAGGCAGGAGGAGGCCACAGAGGAGAAGCCTGCCTCTTCTAGGCAGGAACTTCTATTAGTAGTAGCATTACTATTACTGTTTTGTTTGGATGACATTTGACCAGGAAAACAGGGTGGAAAGTCAAAGGTTTGCTCTGCATTTCTAAGGCATTGATTAGTTCTCTTTGGCTGTTGGCTTGGGGAAGGGAGGATGCTACATGAATGAATGAGACACAGGAGGAAGGTAATGAGCAGTGTTTGGTTTTGAGTTTGGTTATCTCTGAGGATACTTCTTGTTTAAAGATGTCCTCCAATGGTCAATCAGATTATAGTGTTTGCTCTCTGACTGTATGTGTGGTATGGGAAGGCATCCTGGAAGTTTAAAATCTAGGGTTTTTTTTGGATGACTGGAAAACCCACAGGTTTAGGACAGCACAAGGAAGTGAAAGTGAAGGTACATCCATGCTAAAGAAATGCCATGCTCCAAATTATGTTGATTCAAATGAAGCACTACAAGTTGAAAAATGGGTTTACTGCTTCCCCACTTCCGCACTTGGGACTTTCTGCACTGAATCCCACCATCCTGCAACAGGTGCAGATGCTACAGCTGTAATACAAATCCATATCTACAGTATAATCTATGTTAGGATATATAGTGTTGTTTGAGATGAATCACATCTTTTGCAAGTGTAGCTAAATGTCATCCTAAAGCAGGTTATTACAACGTTTATTGTGTAAGAACTATAGTTTGAGTACAAATTCTGTGGCTGGTTGATTGCTAGTATCAGTGGTTTCTCAACCAGGTTTTCAATATGAGTATTAAAACCACAGGGGGACACAAGCACTCTTCATTTCTTTATGGCTAGATGGACTAGTTGTCTTGGTTCCCCCCCCCCCCCCCCC